TCTGGTGTGTGTGTGTGTGTGTGTGTGTGTGTGTGTGTGTGTGTGTGTTCTTTACACGTTTCCTTCTATCTAGTAAAACCCTAGCTAGCGACCTTTGTCATTATAGACAAGAAACTATCAGGAAGCTACTGTTGGAAGGCTGGTGAGTGACTGCTGTGTGTGTGTGTGTGTGTGTGTGTGTGTGTGTGTGTGTATCCAAAGCTGAAAACAGTTCGCAAATTGTTTCCCAACTGGCATTTTTCTTTATACACCCTGAAAAACAACTGCATTTGTTCCCTCACCGTGGTTCATTCATCATCTATCCATTTAATTTGTAGCAATCTACCTACCTCTTCCCTCTCCATGCAATCTGCTTTCACATTTTTATTAGCAATATGTTTTGCTTTATCTATCTGTCCTTGAGAAAGAGTCTTGCTATGGAGCCCAAACTAGTCTCAAACTTAGGCTCCTCCTGCCTCACCCTACAGTGTGCTGTCTACCACCAGTGTGTACCACGATGCCAAGACAGTAATTTATTATGCTTACCCCCCCAAAAAAGGGAAGAAAATGAATTATAACTCTTACTTTGGTTCTACATAAACATAAATAAATTACTTAACCTTTTAATCTGGGTTTCTTCATCAGTAAATGTATTGATTAGAAAGCATTTACTGTAGTCGGGTTCATAGCAAACATTCGTTGGTAACAGTCATTTGGCTATTATACTACTACATTTTTAGGAACAATACCTCCCCGAATCAAAGAAACCCTGTGCTGCCACTTAAACACCTGCTCTAACTACAATCTCTTCTAATGTCTAGATTCCAATAATCTAAAATTCCCAGTACTTTTTGGTTCTGAAAGTCCAATAATCCTGACATATGCATGCTTTATTTTTTTTCTGCCTGGTGGTCTACATTTTTATTTCAGATTACTTATTGTGTCCCATGGCATTTTCTTCTTTTTCATGATTATTCTGTTTAATCTGCCATTGAATTTGCCATATTTCCAGGTAACAGAAAAGTATGTACTTCTCCAGAAACACTGGTTCCTAAGTACTTTTATTTCACAGCATGGAAACAAAAGAAAAACAAACTTTCTAAAGATTGCAAAAAAATTACTTTTGAAATGCTTATAAGAATATTTTTAAATCATCTTGAGAAATAACCTTGATAATTGGGGATCGTAGGTGTCCACAATGTGAAATTTCTCCTTTAGGGACCACTCCTTGAAATGTCCAACTTCAAGTCTTGTCCTCTGCCTGAAACTTGTGTAGAAGCAGGAGGAGAATACCAGAAGTAAAGTGGGAAAAATAAAAAGGGTTTAAAAATTCTCTAATAGAAAGAGCAGTGAAACAATCCATTACAATTACAACATCCTCACTGTTCTAAGTCCTCCAGCTAAGACTGAACCTTCTCAACTGACCCTGTCCAAGAGGTTGGAGCAGTTCTGTGCATCCAGATCCCCCACCCCAGTTTCTGGCTTCTCTCTGAGGGATGTCTCTTATTCATATCCAGTTTTTCCCAATTTCGGACCTGCTGTTCGGACTTGGACTTTAATGGCTTTTTATTAATGAGCAGCTGCTCCTGGTTGTACAGATCATGACGTCTCATTCATTTCCTGATCAAAGGAGACAAAGACTCAATACTCAGAGTGACAACTTTGAACAGTCACATTTGAAAGCATAAGAGTTTTCTGAAATTTTTAATGAATTTTTTAATTGCTCTTTCTACTAGAGAATTTTGCTTCCTTTCAGAACAATAAACTTTAATATCCTGGAAAATTAAACATTTTTAAGATCTAAAATTCTCCATTTAATAATTAGATTCAATGGCCTAATACACCAAGCAGTCTGAAGCAGCTTTAAAATTTTTCATCACTACTAAATAAAAATTAACTTTCCATAAAGAACTTAAATATTTTCCACTTTCTTATCATTACATTCAATAGTGACTTTTATTGCTTAAAACAGGAAGACCTAATATTTGAGAATGATTGTATAAGTTAACCAAATTTCCTTAGAAGGGCTTAGATAGAAATTTAGAGAAATAGCACATGTTTTGTTTGTACTAGAAACGGATTGAAATGAAAAGAAGGGTGAATTCTCACCATATGTCCAGGTTTGACTCAGTAACAATACCACTTAGCTCATTCCACAGTTATATGTCATATTATGGTTCAAGTAGGTTTGATCTGACCACAATATGGAAATCTAAGACCTTTTAGCACTTCTAAGAGCAAATGTGTAGCTAGCCATACAACCAATATAAAACAGTAATATCACCTATTTTGTATGTGGATTGCAAACTTGAAAATAATACTGACCTTATGGTGGAAGGAGCATTTCTTCAGCTATCTACAGCATGATGGACATGACAGCTGTGACTTTCAATAATCTTAAACCCTCAACAACCTTAAACGTCAGTTTTAGCATCTGCAATATTAGGTTAATAAATCCTTCCTTGTGGATTTATTTTTCGAACTAAATGCCCTAATGTAAGTGGAAATGTGTGGGAAGCAGCAGTAAAATCAGTGAAAGCTTCCAGACATGGAAGCTCATCATCTTCCTATCCAGTAAAACCTTGAGCTCAGTACTGGAAATACTACTTCCAAGGAAAGCAGAGGTAGATTTTCCATAATTAGTAACCAGAAATGGACATATTTGCCAGTCACACATTTGAAAAAGGAAAAGGAGCAGGGATTATTAAGCTTTGAAGGTACAGCCTGAAATCAAGCCCCACCTAGCCTCTTCTGCCCTTTGCTTTAAAGACAGGGTGAAAGAGCAGCATTTGGAACTGAAAAAGGACTACAACCCTTCCCTGACTCTTCAGGCATTTGCTCTACTCATGAGCTGTTTTTCTCATAGCATTATTCACTGCAAATTCCATCCATTGTGCCCATATTTCAGCACATATACATTATTATAAGGATCTTATAACTAATTATTTTCCCCTTTTTTCATTCCTCTAAGTCAGCTCAGTATTTTGTTGTCTGATTACAATAAATATGCTTAAAGGGCAGCCTTCTTGATTTGAACTATTCTGTTTTAAAAGATTCAGCTCTCATTGTCTATCAGTTCAAATCTATTAGGAAGGTTGTCGCTATTTAAAGTTTGATTTTATTTTTAACTGCTGTTTCTGAATCTCCTTCTGGCCACTTCTGTCCCTTGAAAATATCAGACATATCAGCAATTCTGGTCAAAGATGTTTGCTTGGGTATACTGTACACTTAATATGGCAAAAACTACTCATTACGCAGTGAAACACATTTCTTTCTGCAGTGCTTAATTGAAATTGCATCTTTTATAAATGAGAATTAAATTCGTTATAATTATATAAGAAATATTTAGTTAAGAAACTTAATACATACATATTCTCTCTTCTTAGACAGAATTTACATATATTAAGGATCACTGGCCTAAATACATAAGTTGCTCTAAAGACAAAATAAACAGTGAAAATACTCTTGCCATTTTGCCTGATATACTCATAAATATCTTGCCCTTAAGAAATTATTTTCTCTTTTCATAGGCACGGATCCCATTGCCATAGAAACCATAACCACTTGGTCTGTAACTGAGTATGAATTTTATACAGTGTTATTTGGAACATTAGGGCTGTAAGTAAGGCTAAAGTTCAGTTCCTATAATATTTTGGAAGGATTTCTTTATCAGAAAAAAAATCTGGTGGAGGAAATTTTTCATCATATTGCCTATTAATTAACTTAGTTTCTTCCACACAATGAATGCACTGTGTGCCCAACCCTCAATCCGAAGGAACTTCTCTAGTAAAG